CCTGTTGCCATAGTGGTTTACATGGTGGGAAGCTAACCACAAGGTCAGCAATTCAAAACTACATGCTGCTCTGCAGGAGAAAGGTGAGATGATTCTTGATTTTCTTCCACTTGTAAATTTAAGTGTCTATTATATGTCTTCCAGAAGATTTCTGAGACCATAATCCTTTAATGAATAGAAAACATTAACTTTCTCCTGCAGAGCAACTGCTGGTTTCGAACGGCTGACATTGCATTTAGCAGCCCAAAGTGTAACCACTACTCCATCCCACTAGGTATAAAATGAGCCATTTCAGATGCGGAATTATGGGATCTCACTACCATCAAGACAGAAGAGCAGAGTGGAGCATGTTCTTTTAAACGTGAGATTTTTTGTGCAAACCTCCTCAATCCAGGAGGCAGAGCTGTGACACCAGAGACGTGGTGGGAAAATGATGTCAGTTGTGGCGGCAGCAGCACTAAGAGCACAAATAGAGTTCCGGATTTTCCAGCTCCAGGAGCCATAATTGTTGACCTACTGAGCAAGAGTTGAGTGCCTTCTGGCTGTGGCGGAGTCACATGCCCTTTTGCAGCAATTGCCTGAGTAGAACAGAGACCAAGAGGTCACATGGCTAACAGATGCTTATAACCAGAAGAAATGTATCTTGAATATGTCTGATTCTGAATTTCAAACCGTCAACTTCTCTAATGAACACCATCATTTGAGTATTCTCCCTGAGTCTGGGTGGCCACAGCAGAGAAGCAGAGTACTGTCAGGTGCATGGTTGATTCCAAAATTGGAATTGTAAAGAAGATGTGAGGGTGGGGGTGTGTCTGACAATTCAATTACCCTGATATCAAACCCTTATAGGAATTGGCCTACGGTGGATGCTAATAGTGATTTTGCCCTCTCCCCTTCCCAATGTGAAGATGGAGGGTGTCAGATGCTACGCTTGCACCAGTTTTATAGGAACGTATTTTATTTGTCTTAGGTAAATATGTAACTGACATTTTTGAGTCATATAATAGGCGGATATTTAATATTCTGTAAAACTGCCAAATAGTTTCTAAGTGTCTGGGTCCACAGTAATGGATAGTTGTTCCTTCTCTATAATACCGCTGACAGTTGGTATCGCAAGGTTTTGTCCTTATTTTTCATTCTAACAAACATGTCCTGTGGCTGTTAGTGGCTGCTGACTGTGTTCTGACTCACAGACGTGTAAGCACAAGAGAACAACACCTGACAGGGTCCTGCCCTGTCCTCAAACATGTCTCTTTGTTTGAGCCCATTGTTGCAGCCACTGGCTGCATTTTGTTGAATTTATCTAATAACTAATAATGTTAAACAACTTTTTTGTTTTTATTGAACATTTGTATATCTTTGTTTAAATATTTTTAATTATTTTATTGGCATATAATCCACACATCACACAATTCAATGTTTCAATTACATCAAGAAGGATTGTACAGTAGTCATGACAATCAGTTTTAGAATATTTTCATCATTTTTTTAAACTTATTGTTACTAGTTTACCATCTTCCCACCAACCACCCTGCAATACATCTAAGGAACACTTAATACTATTGCTATAGATAGGATTACTATCTCTATAGATTTGCCCCCACCAAAAAATAACAACAATAACAAAGTAAAAGCGTTCTTACTTTTAAATTGGACTGCTTTACTCTTTTTATTGCAATGTAGAAGCTTGTTATACATGTTGGATAAAAAATAGTTAGCAGGCAAATGTTTCCAAATACATACCTTCAGTTTATCAGTTTTTTAAATGTAATTTGAAGAGAAAACATTTTAAATTTTGAATATTCTGACAGGTTTTAAAGATGGAAAGATGAATACATTAACCTAAAAGTCATCATTAAAATGAATGTCTTCTATAAAATTTTCTCAAAGGATATTTTCTAAGAAGACACTTTATATGACATTACACTAATTGTAAGATAATGGAAAGAAAATTCCTGAATCTGCTGTTAATATTTATAAAGGCATGAACATTGAAATCCCTCAATAATACCTAATTGCTTAACAGTTTTCACCTGCTAAGGGAGAATTTAAACAAAAATACAATTTGAAATGTTCTAGAAAATTAAGAATACTTCATCAAATGTGATTATCTGGAAATGATTTATTGGATTATTTAAATGGAAAAATAAAGAAAACATCTTAATTTTAAAGTACTTCAATGTGAATCACTAAGTATCAGTCTTAGTAAAGCTTCTCACTTGAATAAGTATAGGTTTAGAAATGTGTAAGTATGTGAATGGATTATGGTCTTTCAAAAACTATTTACTACATCTGCTGATTCACAGGAACAAAATATGACTGAAAATAAAGTTAGGTCACGTAATTTTACTCATTATGTTTTATCTCTATCCATGGTCTTGCATATGATTAATTCAGACATTACTCAGTTGCATTATCTCTTCAAAAGTCACAACTATCAGAGAGTATTGAAAAAGCAAATGAGGCAATGATCCTTCAAGAAGGGAGAAAAAGAAGCTAATTGATGCAATTATCCTGAGCACATCAGATTGCATCTGGAAAATAATATTATGCAAATAAAATATCTTCAAGTTGGCAAAGAGTCCACGTCTATGAAGTCATACACATAAAAGTCTTTCATGATATTGATTTTTTAATTTTAATGCTGTGAAATACAAAGGTCACTAAGTTTAATTATTTTAATATGAATATATAGTTGATACTGAAAACTGATGTATTGCATCAACATCAATGCTTTCAATGTAATTTCTTAAAGAATTAAGTGACTAAATAAAATTAAAAGTAGTTAGTCATTCAGAATATCCCAAAGTTTGATAATAAAGAATGTATGCTGTATTTATATATTAAACTACCAATCTAATTGATATGTTATTCAAACAGGTATACCCTTCTTAGACAAGGATAAAGTAGTATCAGGCCTCAGTTCATTTACTTGTATAATCAACATCTAGCACTAGATGATTTTGCTTTGCTTTCTCTGTAGTTAGTTTATGATAGAATTAATCAAAATGTTTCTAATAGACATTTACTTCAAATCTTATGATATTTCTACTATGTTTATGCTGGTGATATTAATGGGTACCAATTCTACGTAATTTGCAGCTCTGGTGCTACTATCAAGTAAGTTATGTGTAAGGTCAGTGGTTCAAAACCATAAGCTGCTCCCTCGGAGAAATATGAAGCTGTCTTTTCTTATCAAGATGTACTCTGAGTTGGAGTGGACTTACAGCAAAGGGTTTGGATAATGGTTGTTGGCAGTTAGATTTTACGTCGACTTCACTTGTGTGGGGTGGAGTTCAACCTGTCAATCAGGTCACAGCTTGATGATGCCTCTGGGAAGTGTGGCCTTTTCATATGAGAGACACTGGGAACCTCTTCCCTTTTTCTCTCCCCCTCTCCAACTTCTTGCTTGCCTGGACTCTGTCTCTGCTTCTAGAAGTGGAAGCACGGGGCCAATTGCTCCTGAAAACTGTCATTGCCCTCCTGTAGTTTCACTGACCTTGCGTCCATGATATGACCTGTGATCTTCCTGCATTACTTCACTGTTCTTTGTCATCAACCTGCAGCTATATGAGTCTTAAAAGGACCCCAACTAGCACTGGGCCCATGGATTTAAGCTGGACTAGGCTGATATACCTGCTTGATAAAAGATTAAATATAAAGTTCATTGTTCTATATATGTGTGCTACAGGTTTTGTATCTCTAGACCAGTGGTTCTCAACCTTAGAGCCATGATCCTTCAATACAGTTGTTCCTGTTGTGGTGATCCCCAACCATAAAATTATTTTCGTTGCTACTTCATAAGTAATTTTGCTACTGTTATGAATTGTAATGTAAATATTTGATATGCATGGTGAATTTTCATTGTTACAAATTGAACATAATTAAAGAATTGTTACAAATTGAACATAATTAAAGCATAGATCACCAAAACAATATGTAACTATATATTGTGAAATATTTATTTCTAATTACAAATAAATGAAATTTTGTCTTGAAGCATGGTGTAGCATGGGTAACAATCTTCACGCCGGGTACTCGTATGTGGGCGAATCTGCATGTGGGTGGACCCACCTGGAGATGATAGAGGAGCAGTTTCTTGCTTCCTAAGACTACCAGAAATACGTATTTTTCTATGGTCTTAGCCAACCCCTGTGAAAGGGTCATTTGACTCCCAAAGGGATCATGACCCACAGGTTGAGAACCGCTGCTCTAGACAATTCAATCTAATACACGGTCTTAAGACACAAAATGCTGACAGCGTCCTTTAGAAAATATCTTTTCAACATCATTTTTTAGACTACATTTGCACAGTAAATTTCAAAATTCAGAGATAATGACATGTTTCATTTGATGTTTTCAAAATCAAAAACCATCTTGATGACATTTAGTGATGAGATATATGTTGCTTTTCGTTAGTTGGCCTTGAGTTGGTTCTGAACGGTAGAGACCTATGCACAACAGAAGGAAATACTGCGCAGCCCTACCCGTTCTCACCATTGTGCTTGAGGCCAGGGCTGGAGTCACACTGTGGTGAGGGCTATTCTCTTTTTCACTGACCCTCTACTTTATAAAACACAATGATCCCTTCTAATAACCTGCCCATGGGGAAGGGGATAGAGTCTCTCCATCCTTGCCTCTAGGGACAATGTTGACTGTACTTCTCCAAGACAGATATGTCTGCCTTTATGAAATGTATATTAGGCATTACTTCAAAGATTGTAAAATATATATAAATATTCTGAGAATTACCATACTAGAGATTTTATTAATTTAGTTTAAATTAATTAAATTTAAAATTCTTTATATCCATTGCTTTAAAAGATTGCCTTAATTTTCTTAGATTCAGTGTACTAAATTTCTATTTATTATTTTGGGAATAAGAGAGAGATTGAAGGTGAAGGTGACAAGAAGGATATCAGAAAAGATATGCTTATTTGTGGCATTATTCTATTGGTTGCTGATCTTTATCGTTTTCTTTTTTCTTTTTCCTTTTAATGCAGGGGAAAGTGCAGACACATTCCCACACTACCACAGATTGTGCAGTTGAGTTTCCCATATTTGGGGAAATCACAGAAGTCAGCACAGCCATAGTGCAATGGATGAGCATCTCCCTGGGAAAACCACCTTCGCGGTCCTGCTGTCTGTCCTGCCAGGTAAGTATGATCTTTATAGTTTTAACATTAATATAAATTGTAGAATCAATGGATACCAAATTAGTGTTCACAAAAACAATGTTTCTCAAGTGAAACTTATTTGAGAAATTGAAAAAAAAAATGATGCTCTAATCAGTAATAAAGGAGCCCTACAGGAAAAAAGATGCGGGTTTCTACTCCTGTAAAGAGTTGCAGTCTCAGGAAACCACAGTGGCAGTTCCACCCTGTCCTATAGTGTCGCTGTAAGTCAGCATCTATTCCATGGCAATGAATCTCTTGGTTGCGTAAACCAGGGCCTTGCTAGTTATTCAAATCCACTAGCTGCTCTACAAGAGAAAGATGAGACTACATGCTTCTTTAAAAATCTACAGCCTTGAACATCTTATATATGGTAACGATCAGTTTGCATTAACTCAATGCTAGTAGGTTTAATCCTTAATATGTTGATTCTATAAATTGCATTAGGGTGTGTGTGTGTTTATTTTCTGTTTTAATCTGCCTTGGCTAAATTTCAAAACCTCCTTGCTAATTTATGGTAGAGTCATCATGAGTACTGATCCACGACGTCAGCTTCCATGCTGCTGGACTTGTGACCAGAGGTGCCTACTCTCTATGCACAACCTTATACTCAGAGACCAGTTTTGTGTTACCCAATAGTGACTGGTTGACTGGTGTTACCTAGATAACCATACTCGAACCACCTCAAAGCTGATGGAAAACATAATGCTTAACTCAGTGAGATAGTTCAGGTTTATTGTGCCAACCTGGCTGATAAACGCATGGGGAATGAATTGAAGGGTGGAGAGATAAATGAATCAGTGAGCCTCACCTTTCTAGTTCTCGGGTCTCTTGCTCTCTGATGGTCGTATCAGTGTGTGGCTGCCATAGCTGGCAAGGCTCACTTCCTGTGAGACATTCCTGAGGAAAAGCCACATGGACTACCCCTGATGCAGCTCTGGGTGCTGGAGAAGCTGTGTGGAGACTCCCACCAGCGCGGAGATGCTTATACTGCCACGGGGTTCAAAGATTTTCTACCACTGGCCTGCGATCCTCCTGCACTCAGTGTCATTGTGTGTGTTTTGTGAGTTTGAGGAGGACTTTGTAGATTGGTGTCGGACATATGGACAAAGTCGGACTTATAGGCTTGGACTGAACTGTGTTTGGGTGCTTTCTGAATGTACACTTGCCCTATATATAAACCTCTCTCTTACACGCATATGAGTTTCTGTGGATGTGTTTCCCTAGTTTGCCCAGACTAACACACCCAGTAATCAGAGATAGCACTCCCTGTGCTCATGCCCTATAATCACCTGGGTAGACACAACACGTCATCAACAGTGCCAATCACATTCTGACAGTCACCATATTTACCTCTGCCAAACCACAATCACAAGATCCTAGGGCCAAAATCTATTGATCTCTCCGCAACATATCTCATACTCAAATAGTTGTTGTAGGCCATTTGGACTTGCATTTACAACCCTTGATACTCCTCCACCCACTGAAATACCAATATGTGCTCTGCAGACCTACACTATCGAATATTATTTCCTCTCAGAGAACTCCAGAGAACACACTAACAAGTAGCATCAATCAGAAAGGACTTAATATTCCATAAGGGTAGTGGAAGAACACTGATTACATTTTTTGCCAATGTCAGAGAAATAACTGGCTATCTAATCTCATTTAATCTGGCAAGGTAAAACATGTGAACTGAAACAAACAGCATTCATATGCAGGTGAGACTCACCATACAGCCTAGGGAAAGGAAGTCAAATCCAGCCAACAGACAACATCACAATTACACATAGTGAAAAAACACAAGAAAACAACTAAAATAACATTGAGACATTAGAAAAATCACAAAGACATTCTAAATTTACATAAAAGAAACAAGGTACAAATGTATCAAAACAAACAATGGAAACACACACACACACACCAAACATTGCTATTGTTATGTTCCATTCGTTGGTCCTGATTCATAGTCAACCTCTGTGCAATTAAAAAAACAACATTGTCCTGTCCTGCATGATCTCACAAAACATTCTTCATTTTTTGGTCCATTGTTGCTGCTATCATGTTTTTCTCTGAACCTCTATTTTATAAGGTTGTCTTTAGTGTTTTCATCCTTTACTGAGTATGACATTTTTCCACAGGAACTGGCCCAATACCTCATAACTTGTCCAATATACAAGGCATAATATTTCTCAAATCTTGCTTCTAAGAAAGCATTGCACATCTTCTTTTTCTTTCTATTTTTCTGTTTTGTTGGAACATGAAGTTTTATTTATGGATAATGAAATTTGAATTTTTTTAATTAAATCATTTTATTGTGGGCTTGTATAACTCTTATTACAACCCACATATACATCCATTGTGTCAAGCACTCTTGAACATTTGTTTCCCTCATCATTCTCAAAACATTTGCTTTCTGCTTGAGCTCTTGGGATCAGCTCCTCATTTTATCCCCTCCCTCCCCACTCCCTGCTCGCTCTTGAACCCTTGATAATCTATAAATCATTACTATTGTGTCATATCTTATACCGTCTAACATTCCCCTTCACCCACTTCTCCACTGTCTGTCCCCCAGTGAGGAGGTTATATGTAGATCCTTGTAATCTGTTCTTCCCTTCTCCCTCAATTTCCCTCCACCCTCCCAGTATCGCCATGCTCACTACTGGTCCTGACGGGTTCTTCTGTCCTGGATTCCCTGTGTTTCCAGTTCCTATCTGTACCAGTGTACATCCTCTGGTCCAGCCAGATTGTAAGGTAGAATTGGGATCATGATAGAGGGGGGAGCGGGAGGAAGCATTTAAGAACTGGAAGAAAGTTTTATGTTTCATTGTTGCTGCACTGCACCCTGACTGGCCCATCTCCTCCCCGTGACACTTCTGTATGAGGATGTCCAATTGCCTACAAATGGGCTTTGAGTCCCCACTCCACACTCTCCCTCATTCACAATGATATGATTTTTTGTTCTTTTATGCCTAATACCTGATCATCGACACCTCGTGATCACACAGCCTGGTGTGTTTGCTCCATGTGGGCTTTGTTGTTTCTCAGTTAGATGGCCGCTTGTATACCTTCCAGCCTTTAAGACCACAGATGTTGTATCTTTTGATAGCCGAGCACCATCAGCTTTCTTCACCACATTTGCTTATGTAATTCCTTTGTCTTCAGTGATCGTGTCGGGACAGGCTGGTGTGCTTCTTCCATGTGGGCTTTGTTGTTTCTCAGGTAGACAGATTTGTGGATACTCTGGCAGTTCATATGTTTAATATTTTTAACCAAAAGTATACTTCAAATGATCCAATTCTCCCTTATCCTTTATTCACAAGCTTTCACATGCCTAGGAGGCAATTGAAAACAAGATGGCTTGAGTTACACTCATCCTATTCTTCAAGGTAACATTTTAGTTACTAGCATTTATTATTTTTTCATTGTTTCTTTTGAATTAGTGAGGAGTTACAGAACAGGATATCAGTTTAATATTCAACTATTCATAGATAGTTTGTGTCACAGTACTCTTGTATTCTCCTCAATTCAACACCACTCCTCTAATCTGCTCCTGGTTTTCCACATCCACTACTTCCTATATCCAATTCTCCATCTCTCCTAACCCATCTGAAGTTCCTTCTTGGAAAAATTCTGCACCCATGATCTCAAGTGCTTTATTATTCTAAGGGTTTTTGAACCTCACTAGTGCTATTGTTCCCCTTACACACATCTACTATTTAGCTGAAAAGTCACCCATGGGAGTGAATTTAGTTCTAGAAATGAAGGGTGACAAAGTCCATATTCTTTGTGGTTTCACCAATCAATACCCAGTAAGCCTAGTTTCTTGTGTGATTTTGAATTTTCTTTCACCCCGCCTAGGGCATTCTAATGTGATCCCTTCAAAAGCAGTTGCAAATTGTAGCTGAGCATCTCTTAGTTCTTCTTGTCTCAGAGTCATGGGAACTTGTGTTATGGTAGTCCAAAAGTCCATTGGAATAAATGTTCCCATGTATTTTTTTATATTCATTACAATCCGTTCCTTTTGTAGTAGTTACATAATCTGTAACTGTTAATTTGAGGGTTAATAGTGGAGTCTAGTCTATCAATCAGGATATAGCAAATGAAGCCTCTATGTGTGCATGGCCTCCTCCTAAGGATTCTGAGAACTCCTGTATTTCCTCTTTGGAGGCGGGAGGTGCACTCTCTTTCTGCTCACTACCTGAGAGGTGCTGTACAGACAAGACACATGGTGCTATGCCCTGGGAGCTCGAGAAGCCACATGGATCTACCTTGATTCAACCAGACCTCTGGAGTTGGAGAAGCCACATAAAAATCCCTGCCAGAGCTGAGATGCTTACGCTACCAGATCCACAAGACTTCCAACCCACAGGCTTTTGATTCTCCTGTATTCAGCATCATTGCATGTATTTTTTGAGTCTGAAGAGGACTTTAGAGATTGATATTGGACATATGGGCTAATATTGAACTTATGGACTTGATCTGGACTGAGCTGGGATGTCTTCTCAATATTAAACTGCTATTGTATATAAAGCTCTTTCTTATACACATATCAGTCTCCATGAAATTGTTTCTCTAGTCTACCTAGACTAACACACCTTCAACAGGGAGAGAATATATTTGAACTTTCTATGACAAATAATAATATTGTAAAAACTTCACTTACTACTCACCAGTTCAGGGAATGAAACTTTGCCTTTCTAGACAGTATTTTTCCAATTGACCTTGGTGTTCCTTAAGATTCTGGTCCTGAATCCCCAGATCCAGCTACTTACTCTCTCATGGTGTTTAGTTATGTCTAAGATGTTTTTAAAACTTTTTGTCTCCGATAAGCTACACTGCTTCATGCATATATTTACAGCAAAAGTAAATACCTCAGAACAAATACGTTCTTTTTAAGCTATATAGATATTTGTGGGTGTATTCTCATTCTTTGCCCCAACATATCCATTCAGAGTGCATGTCTATCCATGTATCTACTCATAGGTCA